CTCTGGTAAAAGAGATAAAGCCCCAATCTCCAATTGGAATTTTATATCAATTCACTTTTGTGTTCTCAAAAATCATCTGCGGCAAGTTGCAATGAAAGGTTTGAGTAATACCCCCCAAATAAGGCTCTTAACGCCGCCTGGAAACTATGGTCATGTCATTCCCATGTTGTGATACTCCTTGTACACGAAGTAAACGGTGACGATTGGGATTAGACTGAATAGGCAGATAGTATTGCTGGCAAATATAAGGGAGACTGGAATGGTCCTTTCTGGCGTATTAGCCATCGTTAGCCAGTCATAAACAGAACAAAGTACTACCCCACTCAAGCCTCGAACTCGCGAGTTTTTGATCAGAGTCAAATGGCCTAACCATTGAACCATAAACTGATTGTCTAACCCGTTTAGGTCAGAGGATATTGACACCCGTTGATGAAGGTTCACATGACCACTAAAGGGACCCATCTGTCCCGGTCTGCCTTGGGCCTCGTCAGAGGCCCTGACAGCCATAAAAGCTGGTATTACATAGTAAATAGTCAACGAACTCGTGGCCCAATGGTTAGGGCGTTTGACTCTGATCAAAAAGTCGCGAGTTCGAGGCTTGAGTGGGGCACCACTTGGGTCTGGGTATGACTGGCTGACGATGGCTAATAAGCCAGAAATGGCCATTCCAGTCTCCCTTGTCTCTACCGGTTATACTATATGCCTATACTATCAGCTGTTACGGCTGTCAGTGCCTCTGACGTGGCCTAAGGCAGAACGGGACAAACGAGTCCCATTAGCAGTCAGGAGAACGTTCATTATCATCATCATTAGACTGAATATCTGGCCGAGGAACTTAGTTGCCATGAGAAGTAAATGGTCAGTGATGGACTGGCAAGCTATTCTGTTTGCAAGCCAGCATTTAATAGTCCTTCGTGGGTAGAGGTATAAAACTATCCGTAAAAGCTTGCCGGGCCTTCCGCAATTCGCATCTAGAATAAAGAATTCAGGGCTGACACCGAAAGATTACTGGGAACTTCTGAACAACAGGTAAAAAAAGAACAACAAAAACAATGTGGAGTAGATCCGATGAAATTTAATGCCGATCTCGAGAATTGTTATGAAGCGAGTCTTCACCCTGCAGTCAACTGAATTCTTCGCAATAACCACAAAGACAGTCTACGTGTTAACTAGAGTAAACTTTGCGGAACCTTATGTGCGTCATTACCATGACTAGTCGGCGCCTAAAACAATGCTCCGGCGTGTGTAATCGCTTCGCGCACAACAAAACACCTAAGCGTAAACTCCAAAAATTTCACGTATAGTAACGACAGTAGTAACAATGTCTGTTTATTTTCATCCACATACCCATCTGAACTATTTACAAGGTTATCTTTAACGACACTTCTTCTTACCATCATCAAATGCTCCGCACTCTGGTGGACGGAACTAGTACCCGAGCAAGGACTTTGAAAAACAAGTTTTTTTTCGAGTAAGCTTCATGATTGTGATGGCCTTTAATAGCGGAAGTGAAATTTTTAAGTCCGGTCCTGGCAAGGGGACAGAAACGAGGTGTTCGGAAGGCCATGGCTGCATGTAAAAAGGGAACTTTACTTTATTCTCTAAAGGCTAATCACATTAAGTTTGCAAAAATCCACGGTCAAACAGTTAGATGGATAGAATCGATAGCTTTATTCACTTGCCAATTGTTATGATCCGTAGTATGAAACCGAGTAAACGCTTGCCAGCCATGACAGATGCTAATCTGTTGATGCCGGACGATCTGTTGTGTAGCTGTTATGCCACACTTAAAGCAGACAAGATACGCAGTCTGTTTGGTTGGCCCCATTCTTACGTGCTGGTGCATATTTACAGGGGCTAATTTCAGTTCTTTTCTCTGTGCGTGCATGTCT